CAACGAGAACGTCACTAAACAAAAGGTTTGATGAGCAAACTATGATAATGGCTGTGCACGTGAATTATAATTCTTGGTACATTTCCTTGCCGTCCTCTGCAAAACAGCAACGTGAAATGACCTATTTCTGCGTTGTCTGGAGAACGTGAACCACAACGGCTAATTTTTCATATTTCTATTTGGAGCTGGACGCATTCGTAGCATATTCAGCAGGGCAAATTTTAATACCGACAAACACACTGGATAGTTTCAAATAAATGCGAAATTCCAAAGTAAAATAGAGGCACATTTTTTACGAGGCGTCGTCCTCGCCGTCGCCGTCGTATATGCGTAAGATCCCTACTAATCCGTTACGAAGACGGAGCTTTTCGAAAGCGATCTTCAAACCGGAGGAATTTGAAAACGCAGCTTTATTTCTACAGTTAGGCCTACCGTCCACACTAATCTTAAAGATGCCGGCTTTGCGTAGTGTGGACGGAAAGCATTTTTAAAATGGAGCGTTTTCGAAAATGGGTGACGTTACGATAATCAGGTGATTTCACTGCCGGTGATTGTCGCGTTTTTTGATTTCTTCGGCGTAGTGTGGACGGAAAACATTTGATGCTTTTTCAGAATGAAACTTCCGTTTTCAAATTACTCTAGGGTAGTGTGGACGGGGCCTGATTGGCCTGGAAAACTCTAAGTTCCCTGTGATTGGTCAGTTATAAACCTCAGCAATCCGTTTAGGTCGAGCGTTCTGGGGGAGTCAAAACGGAGCTCAGGTTTACCAGGTTTTGCGGTCAAAAAATTGTATTTAAGACAGGCCACGACTGGGAAAGAAAAACTCAAACGTAAGAACGAATAATATATGTTTGCACCGGCTCAAGCTTCTAAGCCACTCGTTCACTGGGCTTACGATATATGAGCAGTAACTTATTGTGTTTCCATGACATTAGAACATGTTTTTTCGTTGATTATGATTGATTTGACTTCTTGTGGTTTGTTTCAGATCCTTGAGTCTGCAGAATTCAACAAGAAAACCAAAATGTCCACAGCAAAGCCGACCGAGTTTTCGTGCATACTGAAAGTCTCCAAACAGCAGCTAGGGACTAAACCTTACCAGGTGAGACTTGTGTTTCATTAGCCAACGTTTTCACTTTCGAGCGGTTTTCAAGTGAGTGTCATAAAACCAAACCAAAGTAATCACTCTAGCCCATCACAAGTTACGCAGACTATCCAATGAACCAATTTCGTCAATGCAAATAGATGTAGCCGGCGAAAAGCTAAAAGTTCAAATTTGTCTTCAGATTTATGTGTTTTAAATCGCTGGGAAATGACGGTTCAGGAAAATGTTGATATTGCAAATTCATCATTTTTCTGAACCTGTCAAACGGCTGCCAGAATCCTGTCAAGGTCTATTAAACCGTTTTCGCTGATGTCAGATTTGGAAAGAAATGGCAACTTTGCCGATAACTGAAGGGAAATTGGTAATTTACCAAGAAATATATGACTAGAGTTGTGTGGGAAGTCGACATTATAAATTAAAGCCAGTAAACCTTGTTCGATATTCTTTATTTGGGACAGTAAGTGGAATGCATTTTTCTGGAGCTCAGTGAGTCAGGTTTCTCATATTTCGTCGAATTAACACTGAGTAATTGAAGAATAGATTTCTTTTCGCGAAGTGAGAAACTTTTAAATTATGCAAACCCAGTTTGATCAGAAGTGCCAACTATTGAAAACATAAGTTATTAACATGATTAATTCTTTGTCATATTATTTATTAGAAGCGGCTACAAAGAAGCCATTTATTTTTTCACATCAAAGCATCGATCGGCAGGAAAATATGGCTTGTCAAACGCAGAACAGGGGTAAAAGATAATAATATTCGAGTCTGAACTGCTGGGAAATCAGGGCATTACGCTTTCCATCTTGTTATTCAAAACCTAAATAAAGTGTGCTCGTCCTCTTCAGAGATGAAAAACACCCAATGTGCAAATTTGTTTATGAAGTCTCTGCCTTAAACATACAAAAACGCCTAGTTTATTTTTCTTAAAATAACAGCGAACAGCATATATTTGGCCAGCTTTTTTATTCACGAAAACGGAAGTAAATATTAACATGTTTGGAATACGGAATGTGCCATTACAATGTTTCTTCTTAAACCCAGCACTCTCAAAAACGTATTACGAAAGCGCTGGAGTCGCCAAGCGTAAATAGCAGGGTCTAATAGCGAAGAAAGAGACAAAATATCATTTGATATGAAGTGATATGTTAAAAATGAGGCATTCTTTTCGCACTCTTCACAGAAAAACCACAGATGTACTTTCACGAAATATGGAGTAAAACAAGTGTAAAAAACAATTAACACAAGGAAAATCGCTAGAACCAATCTTCTCTCGTGATATATATTTCGCTGCGGGTCAATGGGTGATTTGCCCGATGAAACTTGCTGCGCTGTGTTTCGAAGTTTTTTAGACAACGTCCTGAAGATCACAATGTACGTAGCTGTTAGAACGATTGCTGGAAGGAAAAAATGCGTGTAACAATAGGCAAAGAGAAAATTCACCTTTCTCACGCCAGCGGCGGGCAACACAGCCAAAAACAACGCATTCAGCCAAATTCCAACAATGCAGAACTTCACTTTTTTCACTGTTACCCTGCTCTTGTAGTTTAAGTGGTCTGTAACTGCAACGAAACGGTCCCACGACATCGCCATAAAGGAACAAACAGCTACAAACAAGGCCAATCCGCCTACGAGATATTGGAAAGTATTTAAATACGGCAGTTCTTGTTGACCGAGATATAGGAAATACATTTCCACTGTACGACCGAATCCTAGGAAAGCTCCAACAAGGAAATCAGCCACTCCGAGATTAGCGATGAGAAAGGTTGTTGGGGTTCGCAGGCATCGGAAAGGATCGCGGTAGATTGTAACAAGCAGGAGAAAATTTCCTGAAGTGATCACAAAAGCGAGTAACGCATCCAAAACGACGAAACAAAGGTAAAATATAGGGCTTAGCTGAGAGTAAATATCGAGCTCTGATAGCGAAGAGGTGCTTGAAGTCCCATTGTGAAATGTGGATTCATTCATAGTTGTGCCACAAAACACACACACATTTGATTTTTCGTAAGGCTGAACGGTTTCGTGCTCCGAGCTTGTTCCTGATTCTGTTTTTCGGCGATATTCGGGTAAAATGATGAGTTACAATGTGAAAGTTAAACCTTTTTTTTTTTAACTGAACAAGTTATTAAAATTTCTAAGTTATCAACATAATTTTTGATAAGCAGGTGCCTTTTTTGAAACCTTTCTGAAGCCCGCCAGTGGACATCTGATATGTCATTAACACTAGTCGCGTAGGTTGCATTCTCACCTTGGCGATTTACTAGCTGAACATTTTTCCTATAGGTGTTTGTGTAATTACAGACCGAGTTTTACTAGTCAAATCTGACATCTGTTTTCACTATCAATTTTAACCCAACATATAATCCACTCACTCAGCTACCTGACACTACAAGCAATAAGATTGGCAGCGGTATTTAGTAGGACAAGTTATACTATCTCGGGACGGAGTATAACTTTGCGCCAATTTCTGGTTATAAAGGCGAGGTATTCCCTTATTTTCTCTTGTGAAAACAGCTTGCACTTTTACCTCGCTAAACACAAGACGAAGTTTTTTCACTGTATTTCCGGACTTTTCCGGCTTTATCTATAGCCGAAATTGTCCCAGTGAACAACACAACCTTAAATACATGTATGTGTGATGACATTGACTGAAACAAGCTACAGAACGCCTTTACGATGTATACACAGCTGTTTCGAGAAAGATTGTCTCTCAAAAGCGAAAAGCGTCCGCGACGGTGCCGATTGGTATTATGGGTAATAATAGACTGGCGTTACATCATCAAGAAGGAGGGACAAAGCATGAGTACACGTGTTTGTGGTGTCTCCTTCCATCACGCTAAAACACCTTGAGCTTCAATCAAGCAACCGTGAACCACAATTACCCATGATACCTTTCGACATTGTCGAGTACACTTTTAGGCCTCAGTAAGAACACATTTCTTCAATCAGCTGTATTGTGCTGTTAGCTCCATACCTCCACGGAAGGAGCTGTACGCGTTGAAGATTCCCTGGTACCTCGAGAGACCTGTTTTTGGCGCCAAAATATTGAGTTTCCGTAAGTTCTCACACTCAGCACTTTCACAATTTTCTCGCCAAAATATTGCTATTTACGCAATTGTTATGTGGAGTACTTTTGGCTAAATTCAACTTTTCTGCACTGCTTTTACGCTGTTTGGCAAGTTTATCTTTTAATCGCGGAAAAGTGACAAATTTACTTGCGGGGTTGAGGGGTGGGGGTGTAGATGGGTAATCATTGATCAGGAAACACTGCGCGGTTGTTAACAAAATGGCGGCGAAGACGATTTGAAGAATTTACCGTAGATTTAGTGGATTTATACTAAAGCAATTAAGTCAATCGCTCTCGATTTCTATCGCGTGATTGTGGACTGGGGCTGCGCCCTCGTCAACTATCACGCGATATAAGTCTCGAGCTCATAATCTGGACGCTTTATTCGTCTGAGACACACAATTCTTCTGCCTCCTTAAACACGGTCATAAACTCCATTTTCATCTTAGCTTCAACATAGAAAGGATGATAATTAGTTTGACCGCTCAACTTTAAATTAGACCAGGAGCCATAATCGGGGACGGAGACCGTAAGTCTCGGGATTCGCGCGTACCTATGATATGGGACAATTTTTCTATTTTTAGAACGAATTGCGCC